TTAAGCTGTTGTTTTGATACTACAACAGACAAACTAAGTTAATCCATAAGCAATATTTCCAAGTCTGACTTGCAAATGACTTGAAATATGAAATAACTTGATTCAGTTCCTGACTTGGAAGCATTCTTAGTAGTAAAGGTGAGAGGATCGCGTTCATTGCACAAGTTTTTATCCTATGTGGTTCAGTCCCTCTCCGCTGAACATCTAGCTACCCGCCGAGAGCTTCACACAGAGCACGACCTCCGTAGCTCCAACAACGATCCCCAGGGATCTCCATAAAAAGTGCACTCGTGAACTGAACGGCGCTGCCGTGAAACAAACCCACGACCTCCAGAACGCGAGGCAAACAGCCTGACCACTTTGCCACTTGGTGACATGAGACTTGATTTGGCTGGAACTTGGTCGCAATGACTTGGGACTTGACTTGAGACCTACAGGGTGACGACTTCGTCCAACCTCTGCTGTTCTGACGTCTTGGGGTTATTAGGCATATACTGCTAACATAACGTTCTATAATACCAATTTGCACTCTGAGGATGATGTAATAGCACAACAGCTGCCTTTATTTCTCACATTTTCGGATACTTACCTCAGTCTAGGTCAATCATCCATGTGACTAAAGACAAATTCACCTCCGTGGGAATTCGAACCCATGAACATCGGACAGAGAGGCAAACTGGCTAGCCACTGTGCTCTCACAAATCTCTTGTTTCTGTTGTTATCTGTCAGTTCAGTGTATATCTTTCTAAAGTCCATGCCGTCTGGCGTTGGTAGTTATGCCTATCCACAACCTTCTGTCTTGTGTACTTTCGATCAACTCTGACACAGATGATCTTCCATGCCACGATGTCAAACTGTCAAGCAGCTTTTTTTTCGGTCTTCCCCTGCCTCTCCTTCCCTCTTACTTTCCGATGGTCACGCTCTACGTCAGTTTTTCCCCCTTCTCATCACATGACTAAATAATGTAGATTGTCTCCTTATGATGGAGGCAATCAATTCAGTGTATATGATCACCATTATGTAGCAGGTTCTTTGCAAAACGTCGCTCTCATCACAGTGTGCCTAAAAGAAATTCGGTCTCTCGCCAGCCCTCCCGCCTCATGTACTTTCATACTCAAGGAGTCACTCATATCCTGTGCCCTTCCTTTCTGATACCATGCCTTCTATTATTTTTTTTTCTCTCCAATATGTAGTGGTGCTTGATATCACAAAAATATTTCAGCTTCCTAGACAGGATGCTGTTTATTAGCCAATCTTCCTTGAGGTTCAGATCTATCAAGATGTCAGTATTTCGCCTCTTCTTTGTCCAAGATATTCTGAGAATTTTTCTATTGCATTTCAGCCCAAAAGCCCCTATTCTATTTCTCAAGGACTGGGAGATAGTCCACGATTCACATCCGTATATTGACACAGGGAAGATGCATGCTCTAGGTGCTAAATCCCCATCTTCAGCAGCAAGTGAAGAGTTCCAATTCTTATGGTAACAGTAACCTTCTGATTATATACCTGTATATCAGCAAGCTGATACAGGAGGAGTCAATGTTTTGTTCGCAGCCTCTGGGTGTTAGTTCCAAGACCAAAACTGGTGGAGAATAAAGACTGGTAGCCTCTATCTCAATTCTCCTACTCGAGCTTTTTGTCTACACTGGTACCTTGATGTTTACGGCTTTCTTTAACAAAAATCGGAAGCACTGGATGAAATCGCGAGCAGCCTATTTGTCCAGTTTAAAAGTCTCAAAAGCATGACATGAACGGAGATGTGGCAACGATTAGGAGAGTAAACATTTACACACACACCCACACACTCACACACACACGCACGCACGCACACGTACATGCGCAATATGCACGCACGCACCCACACACACATACACGCGTGCGCGCGCACACACAAAGTTAAAATCCTAACATCTACATTGCATGGCCATTGTTTTTCTGAGCCAGAAGCACTTGAGCATAGCTCATCTGGCTCAGTGTCATGAGCACGGAAGCCCTTCAATCTCGGTGCCACATACACCTCTAATGTGTGGAGTATGAGGCACTTTTGCCACCCCCGGCTCGAACCTGAGATTAAAAAAGCATAGGGATTGTCACATGACGTCCAGCGAGCTATCAGCTACGCTGGAGCACCGGGCTGCATGATCACTGAACTGTCACAGTGAAAGATGCACTTGATTAAAAGAAATATTCCTCATTACTTTTTAAATATGTAATCATTTGCAACAACCGAACGATGTGCCTATGGTCGAGGCAGCCAGAGGAGCTAGAAACAGAACCTTATATCTCCCTCGACACCCACAGCGGTAACAGAGGAAGTGAAGAAGAAGAAGAAGAAGAAGAAGAAGAAGAAGAAGAAGAAGAATAACGTTTTTTAACAACAGTGAAAAGACGGAAATACAATGGTACGGATATGTCGGAAGATCCCTCCAAAACGATACTACGGGGTTCCGTTGAGGTGAAGAGGACAAGAGGCAGACTAAGAAAAACCTAGGTACAGAATGTAACTAAACGGACAGGCCTCGAAACATCAAGTCCAATTCATCTGACCGATAGAGATGGAAGGAACCTATAAGCCAGTCAACAGCAAATGCGGACCCAAGGAAACACAGCGTCATGGGACTACGTGGATTATGCTGATGATGATGAATGTAATGATTGTTATTAGTTATTCATCAATAGTTGCAGCTCCTTTGCAGAACGTCTCTCTCATCACAGGGACCTGTTCACGTTTTCCGGCCCACCTACACACTTTCTCAATCTGATCTAGGTCAGAGGAGTGTCGCCTTGTACTAGTATCTTCCAAAAGAGTCTTTCGTGTGACCTAGGCTCAGGCTGTCTGTAGGTTGAGGCGGGGGGGGGGGGTGTTAGAGACAGTTCTATATGTTCTGGTCTCGTTGAAAGCTGGGTCGTCATGTAGTTTAGAACACGCGACATCGACGTTGAAATAATTGGAGGCAAGACAACGTGACACCCCTCTGACGTAGAAGAGTTTGCGAAGGTGTGAATGAAAGGTCAAACGTGTGTAAATGGGCCGGGAAACGTGAACCGGACCCATCACAGCCCGCCTGAGGAGGACAATAACACTCTTAGTAGATCTCCCGCCTCTTGCACATTCTACCCAAAGAGTCCTGTAATAGGCTGGAAAGGCTACAGTTCAGCAGTTTGAAGATCTTGATTTTGTCTGGTTTAAAAATGGTCAAGACGACAGAGAATTTTAGTCCTAGACAGCAAGATGGAGAAAAGTCTGGTCACTGGGTATTTAAACAGCCGACTGACTGATTATTGGCCACATTCTATTTGGCGGTCGCTCCGGCTTGCTACGGTAAAGCGCCCTGATTGTCGTTGTTGATTGCACTCGGTCTCAACGCACAGGTGTGTCGGATCGGACCGGCTGAGCGACGCTAGATTGGCTCGTGTTCGCGATAATGATACGTTTCTTTTGGTTAGATGGTTTAAGAATTGATTTCCATATGGTATTCTTGCTAGGAGATAGTTTTATGGCGGGCCGCTAAAAGTGATTTGTTGGCATATTGAAGCTTAACGAACATGTTAAATATGTTTCGGGTTTTGCCATGGTTGAGGTAGTCTCGCTGAGCGTATAGTGTCATTATCATATTTCCTGGTTGATTGTCGTTAATGGATTATTTGTGAATTATATTTTAATTATGTGTTATGTTAGGTAAAAAAACAAACAGATGTTCCAGTTGCTTAAGACTTGTAGTTAGTGTGCCTAGTTTAGTTTATTTGTTGCTTGGCTGATCTAAACTTTACGGAGAAGATTTCTTGTCAGGGTGAGATATTCTTGATCTTACCCCCGCCTAATCGAACTTTTTCTCTTTTTTTTTCTTGCTACGAAGGCAACTTATGGTCGGGTTTTGGCTCCCAATCGCCATGTGACATTGTTAAGAGCTCTTGTAGGTTTGAAGTCGAGGAGATTTCAAGGAGTAGATTTCTATTTTATCCTTTATAGTTATTTCTTCTCTTTCCCCCATTACAAGATTCCCCCTCTTCTTTTGCTTCTAGTACAGTCCCTTATATTGTGTGCCCATCTTCGTGCCAGTCTGTCCCTTCTGCTCTGTCCGGGGACCATATCCATACTTTATGCTACTATTGTTTGAATGCGCTGTGGAGATTGATATGGTCGAAATATTTCAGAAAAATCTCACAAACTGAATTAAATTAGCTTTTGCAAACCCGGTTTTGAAAACTCTTGACAATCGGCAGTATAAGCCAAGGTATTCTCCAGCCTTTTGTCGGTTAAAACAGAGCAGGGGCGTTCTCTATTCTGTCATGACTCATCGTGTCTGTTATACGGAGACAGACTATTCTGTTAAAAATGTTTACGCGAATCAGGTGACCATTGTAAGTCAGCACCTATAACGAGACTACAAAGACAGCAAGTCAAAAGAACTAAGCCAGCCAAGAACTTAATGAAGGAATTCAAAAACAAATTATTATTAAACCCATACAGACCTGACGTCAGCCTTTACTCGCTGGCGGATATAATGAGAAGGGGATCTAAGAGATTATGGTCCAAATAGTTCCATGTAAGAAAGGTGAAACTTAACGATACTTTTCTACGCCTTTAGACGAGTTAGGCATATAGAGCTAGACTTATATCTGTATAAACTAGTCGGCATTTGATGGGTGATGTAGTCAGCATGATGCCAGTCGCGTTAGCTTCCCAGGACTTTACCTGGTACCTATTTAAGACTTGGAGCCAAGGTCATTTTGGAGATAAAAGAAAAGTCCGGCCCCGGCAAGATCTGAACCCATTACCTTTCGATCCGCAGGCGAGCGTCTAGCCGCTAAACTACGGTGGCTCCCAGTAGTTCAATATGCAGGGAGGTTAATCTAACTAGCCAACTGACTGACAAAGTAGTCAGCTAACTAGCAAGCCAGCAAGCATCCAACCAACCAACTATTACACTGATTCACTTAATAACTAGCGAACTAACTAACTAACTAACCGACGAACTAACCAACTTATTAACTATCAGTTATAACTTCCTTCTCTTCCACAGCGTGCAGTATGCCTGCAAACTCTGATAACGTTGCCCTGCTGCAGCGAACTTTCAAACTACAGAACACTATACAAATAAACCCCTTGAACGTTGGTCCATCCTGGGCGACCACTTCAGCAGCGGCCTGTGCCAACAGTTGCATGCAGCTTTACCCCGACGACTGCCAAGCCCTCATCTTCAAGCGCAGTGCAGGACTATGCTTTATTGTGTCCTTTTCCACAGACACATCTTCAACAGTAACCGTAGGCGATGGAGATCTTTATTACATCTCTTGTGATATCTCCAAAGGTTTTCAGTATGTGGTCAATGGAACGACAAGAGCCTGCTTCGGCATTTTCGGAGAAGGAAACTACTCAGTAGCGGTGGCGGCCTGCGCCAGCAAGGGAGCTGTCTTAATGTCAGTGAAGACAGTAGAAAGACTGTCATTACTTCTGCAGTTATATGATGAGGAGAGCAGCATCTGGGTGGGTTGCGATGACTTGTCCCAGAAGTACACTTACCGCTGGAAGGACGACAGCAGTGTCTTGACCAATGAAACAATTTCTCAGTTATTCACTCCCGGGCAACCCACTTACGCGGCCGGGGAGGACTGCGTCGGCCTAGGCTTTCGCGGCAAGTTGGCCGATTACACTTGCTCCTTACATTCTTACTATGCTTGTGAAATGGTCATTTAGTCACACAGCCGTGAACCTTTCTGTTTGTTAATTGGTATAGTCCGTTTCAAAAGTTGTGCCGTGAAACTTTAGCAAATATCTCGAAAACTCTAGAATGGATCAATACAAACTTTTGCATGTAGTGTGTGTGTGTGTGTGTATGTGTGTGTGTGTGTATCTCTCTCTCTCTCTCTCTCTCTCTCTCTCTCTCTCTCTCTCTGTGCGTGGGCGTGTGTGTGTGTGTGTGTGTGTACACAGTAATTGACACTAATTATTTACTTTTTACGAGCAGATCAGCAAGCCTTATGGCAGTAAATTACTTGTGCACTTCACTCTTCGAAATAAGTGCGCTGTTGTATTTTGTCTGGATTACTTCCAAAACGCATGCAATTTTATGTTTTGCCAAGTTCGTGACAATCCATTTACTGTAAACATGCCAACTGTTTGCTTTGAATTTGTATCTTTTTTTTTACATACCACAAATAAGACAAAATAAAAACTATATGTTTGTTTACATTATTGCAATTTTTGTTAGAAGGACATGCTTATCAACAAGCTAAATGGCAGATTCCAACAATGTACACAGAAGGATTACTGAATGACAGATTTTTACATTTGGGCACAATCTAATACCTATATATGCTGACCGGAGAGCAAAGGTCATGTTCGAGAGAAACATAAAAATCCAGCTCCAATTAAAATTCAAACCCCCGACCTTCGAACTGATGCCCAGCGTTTAGCCGTTACCCCACAGCGGCTAGCCAACACGAAGTTTATGTATTTACTGAAAAGGGTTAGGACAGGGATGCTTCAAGCAAAGTGGCAAGCTTCACTGGAAAGGTCACGGGTGGTGAGCATACTTTGGATCTTTTCTCCAGACTATGCCCGCGTGGTGGGTACTGAACAAGCAAACAGATTGATCTGCTCCACTGGGTGGTGAAATGATACATGACAAGGCAGATGTGGTCAAGGCCCTGTGGGAACAAGCAACGGAATCAGTAGAGAAAGAAGACTATTATGGCATGGAGAGAATGAGGCATCTGGGTGTATCCAGAGGGTCTGGCCGGCTCACTACACCCAGAGGAAAGGCAAGACGGACTTTTAACCAGATTGTGACCGGTACCATTAGTATTGAAACTCTGCGCTGGCTGCTGAAGATGAGGACGGAGCATGCATGGGAATGCCCCGAGTTCTGTGATGTCAATTCTTGACTCAACTCAACTCAACCCAAGTCCCTTGAAAAAGGACAAGAATATGCTGCTGTTGCTGGGGACAGATCATAACGGTCAGCATCTACTAGCATATATGTTTTCCTTTACAGTTTAGTAGAATGGAGACGCTGAGGTGTAGTAGCTAGATGATCGCATGCGGTTCAGAAAGTCGTGGGTTTGTGTCCCGATGACCTCGGCTCTCAGGTGGATTCAGTCTTAAATGAGTACCAAGTAAGGTCGTGGGAAGCAAAGGCAGCCGGTGTGGTGTTGACATCACACACAGAATGCCTATTGTGCTATAACGTATAAATATAACGCTAAATGCCCAGTAGCCAGAAGGTGCGGGGAAAGAGTCCATTACCTTAATTTTACTTGTTTTGTAGAACGGTGTTGGTGCGGGGTGGATGCGGGGAAAAGAGGGCGGGGGGGGGGTGTGTAGGTAACAAAAGAGGGGAGGGCGGCGTTTACATAATTCTCCTAGTGTGGCCTTGTGTCAGCATATGTTATATTCGACGGCAGATAGCATGCGACGTTTCGGTACAAAACTGTCCTACCCTGTTTAGACTACAGGTTGCTCTGTTAACACCGGGGACCCTAATATGACCTTATATTTGAACAGGGTTTTTAAGATTTGTCCCTGGGGGATTCTCATCCGAGTAATAACGCGCCGCACTTTGCGTCACCGGGTGTTAATCGCCTAGTGTGCTGTCATAGATGGGTACTGGTTTACTCACTCGTTGGACGTTGCCAGAGTTGGGGTGCAAGGACGTCAGAAGTGCTAAATGAGTTCCCACATGTGCCATGCGGATGACTTTCCAAAGAATGTTTTACGGTAATCTTAATCTGTTTGTTTTCAAATAGGCATATTAACCAATATGGGGGCCGCCCTGGTCTAGCGGCTAGACGCTCATCTGCGGATCGGAAGTTCGTGGGTTCGGGTCCGGAGTTTTGTCAAAAATGACCTTGGCTCTCAGGTCAACCCAGCCTTGAGTGGGTACCAGTCCGGGAAGTAAAGGTGGTCGGCGTGATGCTGACCACATTGCCCACTAAGTGTCGTTTAGTCTATAAAATATAGGTCTAGTAGCATCTCCTGTAGCTTCCTTTATTTTATTTGCTCACGAGTAACAGCCGTCTAGTTTAGCCCCTCCGCGCCGCAAGAGGTCCGCAATTTACCTGTGACTGAGGCCTTGTTAGGGTATATTTTTGGCCTCGATAATTTGGGACCGTTATTCGGAGGATAGCCTGTGTCTGTATCTGCGAGCAAAAAAGAAAGAGACAAACACTATTCTTTGGCCACATAATGAGAAGAGAGACAATGGAGAACATCGTGACAATTGGAAAGATATGTAGGAAAAGGGGTAGAGACAGACCAAGAGATATGATGCTGGATGGGCTGAAACGATGGCATGGAGGGATATCATCAAGAAAGCTGTTCCAGGGAACCATGGATCGTCATCTGTGGAAAAGCATGAGCGCCTACGCTAGTTGGCATGGCACACGATGATGATCTGCGAGCTTGTCTGAGTATCTGCAAGCACTATGTTAGGCACGGTATCTGATTGTCACTATCTGATTTATTGCTGTCAGGATCATGATAGGGGTGGGTGGAGATCGGGTGAATGTGGGGGTTTTTAGCAAAGCTTAAACAGGTGATTGTCATGGCGTGCACCGAAGCCTCGTGAACTACCTGAAGTAAGGGAAGTGAGCTCAGGCTGTGAGTCAGCTGATGACAGTCGTCAACTGGACGTCCTAGCAGACGGTCTGGACAACTGCAGTGTGGTCATGCCACAGGAATAGTGGTTTAAATTATTGTGTTAGATACAGCTAGATAATATATTGAGTTATTTAGATTGATGTAGCAATGACAGGGGGAAAAAGTTAATAGTAACAGACCTGAACATATCGTATGTACACCAGACTTCCTCGTTTGAATTGTGACCACATTCTGATAGTTTGTTCTCTAGTCGTCTGACTGTGATTGCAGTGTTAATGTGCTTTAAGTGTGTCAGCAATGAACTACCTGACAGCACTCATAACTCGGTGCCTATCAAGCCCCGGGAGTCAGATGAGAAATATGAGAAGTACAATTAAGCACGTATGTCAGCGCAACTTGAATAACCTTATATCACTCGTGCTTTGACCTTGCCTTTTGCCTCACGGTCCATGACAACTGCATCTGGGAGTTAACAACATTTGTGTTGAATCCGTTTTTTTTTTCAGACTCTCAGCTCTCATCCTTTCTGCAATCGCTTCTTCCTTCAGTCTCATTCCCTTCCTGATATACCCTTTCCACACAACAGGGTCCATGGCATTTTGTTCCCATCAGTCCACCTCAATACCTGTATCATTCATGTCCCGCTTGCACACATCTTTATACCGTAGTTAAAGGTCAGCCTCGACATCTTCCTTCTGTCTTTAATTCACCATAAAGGATGTCCTTAGGGACTCTGCCATCCTCTATTCTCCAGGTGTGACCCAGCCACCTGGGCCTTCGTAGACTGACTCATCATGGAAAAAACTGTTGTAGTACCTGCTCTTTCCAGTACCTCAGTGTTTGTGATTTTGTCCTGCCACTTTATTCCGAGTATTCTTCTTAGGCATCGCATGTAAAGCCGTCTCTCTTGGTGCAAATAGGTTGACCAAGTTTCACTACCGTAAAGCAGAGTGCTGAGAACACAAGCCTGATAGACAAGGGTTTTTGTTTTAATTGTGAGCTTTCTGTTCTCCCAAACTCTCTTTGTCAGTCTGCTCATTGTTGTTGCTGCTTACCTATCCTGATGTTGATTTCTTGGTCCAGCGATAGTTTACTTTTCACCGTGGAACCCAGATAGGTAAAATGGTCTACTGTCTCAAGCTCTTCACCGACAATGTAAACTTTAGGTGTGTCATTGACACCTTGCACCATAACCGTTGTCTTCTTTTTGCTGACTGTTAGTCCAAATTCACAGCACGCATCAGCAAAGGCAGATAGTAAACACTGCAGCTCCTTCTCTGAGTGGGTGGTTATTGCGACATCATCTGCAAACAGCAGCTCTCTGATAAGTACCTTTCTTATCCTGGTTTTGGCCTTCAGCCTGCGTGCATTGCAAAGGCTGTCGTCAGATCGAGAATGAATGAAAATACCACCCTCCTGATCTCGAAAGGCATGTGTCAACAGAAGTGAAAAGTACATTCCAAAGAGGGAAGGAGCAAGTACACACCCCTGGTTCACTCCCTTTTTGATTAAAAACCCTTCCGATGTTTCACCATCAAAGTTGATTGTACCTGTCATACCTGTGTGGAACGACTCAATAATACTCAGTAGAGTAGGTGGACACCCAGTCTTCTTCAGTGCGCTAAACAGACCATTTCGACTAAGAAAATATGCTTCAAACCAGTCCTTACTTCTTTTTTCTCTAATCCCACAGACAGCTGTTGTGTAAACAGTCTTTCTAATTTCATTCCATTTTAGGCATGTGAGTCCACTTACCAGTGAGTAACTGTATCTATGAGTGGCTGTATCTGTGAGTTATTGTATCTGTGAGGCACCATATCTGTGAGTTATTGTATCTGTGAGTTATTGTATCTGTGAGTTATTGTATCTGTGAGGCACCGTATTTGTGTGTCGCTGTATCTGTGTGTCGCTGTATCTGTGTGTCGCTGTATCTGTGTGTCGCTGTATCTGTGAGTTATTGTATCTGTGAGGCACCATATCTGTGAGTTATTGTATCTGTGAGTTATTGTATCTGTGTGTCGCTGTATCTGTGTGTCGCTGTATCTGTGTGTCGCTGTATCTGTGAGTTATTGTATCTGTGAGGCACAATATCTGTG